CCTATGCAATCAAATGACGTAAAATCAAAGTCACGTTATGAAACTTTGTTTCAGCAAAATTAATACAAAACCCCATAGCTTTAGTTACTGGAAGAAATATACCTGAAAGAAAGCTGCTGAATCTCATGTTAGTTGCAATGACAAGGGCAGTGATGGAGTAATATAACTTGGCTGTCATGAATCCATACAAAAGGTTTTATTTTTGCTAAAATCAAGATGAAAGTTCTACAAAGAGCATGAATATTAAATTTCATGTTTATATATAAATTAAGCTATCTGAGTGTGTTTTTCTAAGCACCAAGATAACACATACACACAAAAACTCACAAAAATTTTCAGACTTGTTAAGTATAGTATTTTTGCATAACTTCTTGTCACAATGTCATTTAGAATGGGGATTTGTTCACCTGTTAATGACACACATTATATGAAATGGTTTATCTTCTAATTTACATATTCTTTCAATTTTGAAACTGGAAAAAACACATGCTTAATTAGCAAGTTTAATATCCTCTTTTTAATTAATTAGCATGTTTACTTTAATATTCTCTTTTTAATCACATCATAATATCTGATCAAATCAGGTAGAAAATATACTAGCAAAAATACACATATACTTTCTGAATCATGAAATAAAGCTAAGTAATTTGTTATCATAATTGTTAGCATGCTACCAAACATAATCATGAAAGGAAATAAATATTACCTGTTGAAAAGTCTTTCTCAGCTGGTTCATATTGTTTCAAACCGTTATATAACCCTGTTAAAATACAGTGCTGCAGAGAATGAGCAGAGAGTTCAAAGATGGAGACTCCACAATTCTGTGTGCAATCTGCTCCAGTGTAACACACACCTTTTCTGTAACCTCCCTTATACTTTAAGTGGCTTTTCTGAAGAGTGGTAGCAAAGAATGACTTTTGTAAAACCTCATTTATGAAAGAACTAGCATCTTCACATCTTAGGTTTGCCTTCAGTTAGTGTAATCACCTATTTTTCTTTACCCATCTTGGCCAACTAACCTGTAAACACAAATGGCCTTTACCCAAGTTCAATTTGACTTGAGACATCTGAGCTCACATACCTAGGAACTAATTCTGTCTCAGAAAATAGGCCTCATCAAAAAGACAGTTTGGACTTTTAAAATATTCTTTTAATTTCTGTTTTTTCAGCAATGTTTTTATTCTGGTTTTGTTGTTTCTTTCTACTTGTGCAGGGTCTTGGGCAGAATTAATGGCAGGTTTGTAGCACTAGAAAGGAATTTAAAAGTGTTGAAAAAAACCATAAATACATAGAAAAAATATAAATATATATATAAACATATAGAAAAACACTAATAGTATTTTATAAAATTGTAACATCAAATAATAGTTTAATTATAAACAGGAAATACATTACTTTTCCATTTACTTTCTTACTATACTTTTGCAGAAAGCAAGAAATTAAAAATCTTCCTGTCCTTCCTGTTTAGGCTATCTCCAACTCCATTTAAAAGTGTTGTATCCTGAGCAAGGGTCTCAAAAGACCCTGGAAAAAGGTCACCTTCTCCCTTACTCACAGTTCACTATACCAGTATACCATACCATTTAAGTATTTTTATTTCCTTAAGAACAAATCTACTGAAAGGTGCCTAAAAGTAGAAAAAGTTAGAAGCTGAATGGAAAACTGGCTTGAAGAACCAGACCTGAACATCAGAGTAATTACAATGTGAACATATATAACTGCACGCAAGAATAGACAACATTTGGAATTTTTTTGCAGGTCACATTTAGAACATAGTATTTAAGAAACATCAAAAAACTATCAAGAGCATTCCTTTCACCCTCATCTCTCTGAAGAAAAAGGTTTGACCATTTTAATAATGCATTTATATTTAGATAAAACATTTTTTGTCATTTCAAGAAGCCATTCCATTTAAATTGCAGTACATACTAAAAGTCCTAAAGATAACTGAGCAGCATTTATTTTTTCTGTGCATTGAAAAATCTATATTATTCCTAGATAACTAAATTTCTTCTCTTAATTTCAGAGCAATATTTAATATTAAAAATATAAAACCTATAATTAGATAATACAGCTAGAAATTAAAATCTATTCTTTAAAAAGGCAATACATATTAATTAAAGAAAACCTTAGAAGAATCTCTCAGGGTTGACTTAGTTTCTTAATCACAGCTTCTAATTTTCTAGGGTTTATTATTTTCTTTGATTTCTTTTTTTTCTTTCTTCTTGGAAAAACAGTGTATTTAATCCCAGCCTTTTGAGGTCATTTCACAAAAACAATGCCATTCTCACCATCATCTGTCCAGGCAAAGTAGGCATTTTTTCTACTGGTATGTCTGTCTGCGTTGACTGAGGATGATTACAGACTCGATTCAATAGATGCTTGGTAGAGGAGCTTTTCCCAATCTCTGGCTCAGCTAACCATTGCTTCATAACCTTCAATTCTTTCATGCTGGTTTTGAAATTAGCTGACATATTTAACATAGTTTCATCTTCAAAAGCATTCATCTCCAGAGCTGAGATTGATCTTTTAATCAAACTTGTCTGTTAAAAAAAAGAAAACTTAATTTATTTAGATGTTCATTTGAAATAAGATTTATATACCACATTTTCTTAGTTTTAGTGGACTGGATTTTATTTTATATAAAATTGTAAAGAAAAAAAAAGAGTGACATAGGGACTGCGTTGATTAAAAAAAATTGTATTTAATGGGAAAAAAGATCTGCATATCTCAGGATATGTGTCAAAGCAAAGGGATGTGAAAAATTAATTCAAAGTTATTTGAAGCTCATAAAGAGCTGAAATCAGTCTTCCCTAAAAATTATTACAAGAAATTTAAATTAAATAACCCCAGACCTTGTAGGAAAGTTAAATTTTAAAATAAAAAAGTATGCAACTGATGCTGACATTTACAGAAAAAATAAACTGAGGGATATTCATGAACCCAGAAGAAAAGACAGGAGGACTCTGTACCATGTTTACAAGTACAATTGTATTATATGGAAACATAGTTAATATCTGACTGTAATTATGCACTCTTATATTTTGTGTCCCCATCCCTGAATCACCTGATGAAATCAATACCTAAAGAATAACTGTTATCCCCTGGTGTTTAATTGTTATTAATTATTAAGCAAGTATTTTTTGCAATAACAAATTATTGCTTCTCAGATGTTTTGTGAATTCCAGTTCACTAACCTGCACTATAAACTAGGCATAACACATCTTTGTCAAATAAATTAAAACACAATTTCATGTCCACTGCCTGAAATGTACAGAGGGAAACACTTGTTACTAAATTAAAATAAATGAAAAAATAAATGAAGTATTGAATAATTTTTAATTAGACTCTGACAGAGTACGGGAAACTGAAAGGTCCTTGATTTAAAGTAACCACCACTTAGCAACAACTAAAACATCAATGCTCAATATCATATATTCAGGTATCCATATAGGTATGTAAATTGAAACACATATCAAATGGAACATTTGATTTTTCTCAACGCACTGGAATATGGCAACACTGACATCTACTGGTGTTAGTCAGGTTTGGGGGAGCTTTTCTGCAAACAATCATGAAGTTTCTTGTGCATTCATGGAATTAAAGAGTGTTACTTCAGTTAGTTGCAATTCTACTGACAGAGTAGACTGCTAAAGTGGACTTGATTCTCATTTCTGCTAATTGCAATGTATTTCCATTTAAAAACCTATTTAAATTTTCAGAATACTGAATAAGTAGCAGTGGGTGTCTCAGCATAACTGAGAACCAGCCATTTGATTTAACAAACAAAATGCCTTCTTGAAGTACATTTGGTCATTAAAAAGGAATTCTTAAAATGCAGCACTTACTCATAAGTTGTAGTTCTTACACAGAGAAAAAGATTGCAGATCTGGGAGTAGTTCTTGAACTCTTTTTAGGTTTCATTCTTCAAATGGAAGCTTTGATCTATTTCTTAAAGAGAAGAAAAGTAAGAACTGAAATCCAAACTTCTGACAAGCATTTGGCCTTCCTAGTTTTTCTTTATATCGAAGCAGTTTGTTTTGTACCGGATTTTTGTGGCAAGGTTTTGGTAGTGGGGCAGCTACAGGGTGGCATCTCTGAGAAGTTGCTGGAAGCTTCCTCCTTGTCTGACAGAGCTAATGCCAAACAGCTCCAAGATGGACCTTGCACCGGACAAGGCTGAGCTCGTCAGCGATAGTGTGAGCACCTCTGGGTGCTCACAGAAGGGGGGAAAAAAGCTGAGCAGGAGCAACTGAAGACAGCGAAGAAATATGTGACAGAAACAGCTGCAGAAACTGCAGACACTGAGTTTGGTGAAGAAGAAGAAGGGGGAGGAAGTGCTCCAGGTGACAGAGCTGAGATTCCCCTGCAGCCCATGGAGGTCCACAGAGGAGCAGTGACCCACCTGCAGCCTGTGGAGGAGTCCCACACCAGAGCAGGTGGGTGCCCAAAGGAGGCTGTGACCCTGTGGGAAGCTTGTGCTGTACTAGGTTTTCAGCAAGACCTGTAGACCTGCAGAGAGGGGTCCAAACTGGAGCAGGTTTGCTGGCAGAACTTGTGATCCATGGGGGACCCACACTGGAGCAATACATGAAGAATTGTAGCCTGTGGGGTGGACTCCCTTTGGAGGAGTTCATGGAGGATTATTTCCTGTGGGAGGGACCCCACACTGGAGCTGGGGAAGAGTGTGAGGAGTCTTCTCACGAGGAGGAAAGAGCAGCGGAGGTAACACATGTAATGAACTCAATCCCATGTTCCCTTGTGCCACTGGAGTGGAAGAGGTAGTGAATTCCGGAGTAAAATCTTCGGAAGGAGAGAGGAGTGGGGGGAAAGTGTTTTAAGATTTGATTTTATTTCTTATTTTCCTACTCTGATTTGATTGGTAATAATGTATTTTCTTTTCTTCCAAGTCAAGTCTGTTTTGCCTGTGATGGTAATTGGTGAGTGATCTCTCCCTGTTTTTATCTCAACCCATGAGCCTTTCACTATATTTTCTCTCCCCTGACCAGCTGAGGAGGGGACTGATGAAACAGCTTTGATGGTCACTAGGAGTCCAGCCAGGGTAAGTCCACCACAGGTGGTTCTGACTCTTCAAGGTGGTTGCCTGCATAAAAGGAACGTCAAATGAAGCTATACAACATGCAAAAAGGTATAAAACAATCAAAATATTTCTTATCATTTGGTGGTTAAAAGTGTTTTAAGGCAACAATGTAAAAAGAGCTGTCCCTCCCTAGGTCACTTCTGTCACAAATCATTTTCAATTCAATGAGTTTATATTAAATAATCAACTGTGAGTTAATGCAAAACATCAGACTTTTCATTTCTAGAACAGAGAAGCAACATGGACTAAAGCTCCAAGTAATAATAATACTGATTTAATAATATTGTTTCCATCTGCTGGTAAAAAAGTGTAAAATCAGAATGTCTTGGGGAGATACAGGCATTCCTGTATGAAGGAACCTTAACAAACATAACATGAAGCTACAAATCTCATTAAAATTTTTGCAGGATATCTGTGAGGAAAAGGTTTGACAATCCACATATAACCGTCATAAAAATATATTTAGCTTAATACTTGTTTTCATGGCTAAAAAAAATAGCTTTTTTAACCCTCAGATTGATGCTTGCAGACCATGCCAGGATTAAACAGGAGTGCAAAACAAGGCACCTTTGCTATCTGATTAAATAAATTTAATACAGGCACTCTCAGGAGAGAGTTGTACCTGACCTTGGGAAGTTTACATCCTGATAAAATGATGCATCCTGCTCTGCAAGACATTTTTTTTGCATATGTGAATGAAAAGTTATATATATTTTTAAGCCTGTGGATATTTTTCATAGTGAAGGCAAGACTTTAAAGCAAGAAAATTATTGCTTTCTTGATCTGATTTACCACAAAATCCTACCACTGCAGGCGTCTTTGGACTTTGTTATAGTCAAACAAGATTCTTTCACAGAAGAACTCAGAATTAGAGAAAAAAAAAATCTATCGCTATTTATATGGTTAAAGTAATTTCAATTTCACCATCCACTACACAGAAACCATGCATACCCCCAGACAGAAAATTTGCATTTGTGAAATTAGCTAAATGAAGGGAATTGGTCGGTTATGAAAGGTGAACAGCTTAAACGGACCTAAATTAGTGTCAGGTAAACGATATCTTCGACCTTCAAGGCTCACACAAGGCAACCAGTTTTAAAAATGAGAACCAGGTGATTGTAGATGGTGCCACTAGATGGCAGTCCTCCAAAGAATTTAGTTCTCCTGATTTCGGGGATTAAATGAATTCAGCAAAGAATTTTAGTACAGGCTTCTTTTGAAACTTTAATTCTCTTCCTGTCTGGGGAATGTAGCTCTAAATCTAAAACTTTCCTCCCAAAAATTTCTAATCATTCCTACAGCTCAAGCACCCTCAATTTCCTGAACCTGTTGGCTACTTCTTGAAAATCAGATTCTCAGCTTCAAATTCTGTCCTCCCCTAGCTTCTGCAATTCAGCTCCTCTAGATCCACTCCCAAGTAACTCTTTCAACTTCCCGGGTATTTCAAGGGGTTCTGTCCTTTACTCTCTTCTCATTTTCCTCTACCCAATGTCTAGTAACTTTATACTCAAAGACACATACAGGTTCCTTCTCTATAGTAATGAATAGGAGCGTGATTCACCACTCTGTTCTGCACCAACAGAAAGATCAGATGATCTTTCTCTTAGGGATGTCAAGCTGCCAGTTCTAGCTCAGCAAGGCTGAAAGGTAAGGTTCTAATGAGCCTTGGCCTTTTCGACCTTCATGACCTCTCCACTACTTACTTTTTTCATTCACTATGGCTAGCACAGACTCAGAACACAGGTGATATTCATAACATTCTAAAATTAAATGCTTTTTCTAATTTCTCTACAAAACTAATGTCTGATATCTAATTTCATATCTTGCTTGCTGCACCATCAGTTTCTTAACCTAGACAAGCATCATCTTGTTCTGTTCACAGTCATTCAAACTGCTACTGCAAAGACCATAGTTACTTCCTTGGAACACTATTCTATCCTTTGAAGTAACAAAAAAAGAAAAGCTCATTCAACTACAAGATGCTCCTCTGCTTTAAAAGCCTTCACAGCCTTTCCTTTTTTGTCATCTCCAAAGCAGTAAAATGATAAGTTCTACTTTTGTGACTTCTAACTCAATCACTGACTTCCTATGTTCAGGGGGGTTCCTTTCTGAACACCTTTTTGCCACCCTTACACGGCCTCTCACATTCCTGAGAGCCATTGATTTATTGTCTCAGAATTTCCTTAAATTCTCTCCCACCATGTCCTGCAAAATAGTTAATGGCTGGGTTTCTGGTATGCTGAGACCTCTGCTTAAATGCTGATTAGCATCCTTATTCTAATTGAGTCCTTATATTCTCTGTATGTATCTGTTCAACAGACAGAAGTGCTGCTGAATCAAAAGCAAATACTCCAACAAAGACCATGAATCATATTCATGTGCTACCCAAGTTGCTGACCAAAGCAGAAGTTCACAAAAACCAAAGGGAAACATCAGGGCCTAATCCTGTACCCTGAAATAATGCCATCCTTGATGCTTAGGACAATACTGACTACATCAAAAGAATTCAATTACTAAAAACTTTCATAAAGCGATTTATTGATTCATATTTTAAGAGCAGAGAGAAGCATCATTATTAGCCTGACCTTCTAAATAATACAGACAATAAAATTTCATCAGTATTCCTGCACCAAGCTCATGATTGGCTGCATGAAACCCAGGTAACACCTCAGAAAGAAATCTAGTCTTGATTTGAAGGGAGTAAATAATGGATAATTTCAGAATCTGCTACTTTCATTGCTATACATTGAAATCTTACAGCTAGTCTCAATTTGTCTAGACTGAAATCTCAACTATTAGGTCTGTTAACGTTTTCATTTAGCAAATCCTCTTTCATCAGAAACTGTACCATACAGGTAACATATTCAGATCAGCACTCTCTCTCTCTCTCTCTCTCTCTCTCTCTCACTTTTATAAAACCTACATAATGATAAGTCTTAATACAGAACTGGTAGTCAAGAAAAAGAGAGAACACATACAGGAATTGACCCTTCTGCTTGCTCCCTTGTAACTTTATTTGAAACACTCTGTTAGTAAATTAAGTGCACAACATTCCTAAAAATATTCATATGGAAGGATAATCACATATTTAGCCAACGAAATCTGCTGACCCTCTCTGGAACTTTTCAGGGGCTGCAGGCAGATATTTCTTTTCATTTCAAATCCAGAACATGGAGCCCTCTTCTAAGGATGGATGCATCCATTCTTTCCAGGAGGGGCAAGGTGCATTTTTTTTCTTTTAAGAGTAAAAAGCAGAGATGTCATTTCCACCTTTTTTTTGTTAATACATTATTGAAGCACGGAACCAGGAAATGAGAATTCATTGCTTATCTGAGGATTCAAACCTCACTTACCATTAGATTATTTGAGCATTCTGGGTACAGGAAGTTGTGTTGCTGAGCAGAAAAGAATGCAAAAGTCATGCAGACAAGAAAGACAAGTGCTGACATGACCATCTCAGTTATTAGAGCACTTACCTGGAACAGAATAGCTCTGTATAATATTTCTAATCCCAAAACTTCTTTTCTATATTATTGCTAATGTCTCACTTCCTTTGTTTTAAGGTAAACATGTTTAATTTATAGTTCAGAGAGTATTACAGAGACATCTTCTGCTGCTTATCTTTCAAGAATGTAAAGCTCCTTTCAGAGTTACTGCTGCTTTTCAGGATACAATCTCCCCTCCTACAAAGTATGACCCTAATTCCCTATTCTTATCCTTATGACCTTGCATTTGGCTGCACTAAAATGCATTTTTTTCAAGTGAACCCAAGTTAACAAGCTACACAAATTGCCTTGTAAAACTGACCAAGCCTTATCCTTATTTACCACTCTACCATTCTTTAGTCACTATGGACTTTAGAAGCAATAATTTGGTATTTCTAGAGCTGGTGATACTCAGAAACTAGAAGTAGCAAACCACCAGTCTGAAAAACCATCAGAAATAACTTGAGAGTATTAAGGCTCCAATTCTGAATTTTTTTGTATCATTATAGAAACTAGAAAGACACAAAAAAGCAAAGTAATAAGTAGTGAAAAATAATATGCTTCATATTAATTCGTATCCACAATATTTATTGCAAAACAAATAAAAAATTTAAAAACCCCAAATATTTGGGAATTCACTACAATCAAATGTAACAATTGGTAATATAGCAACACGATAAAACTGAGTAGGCCTATTCCACAATTAATTTACACATCCTTACTACTTCTTATAGAACAAATTTTTTGACAGATCTCTACTTACCTGCTGTGTCAGCCTCAGAAAAATTAACTATAATGCATTTTCTTCTTCTTCGGCTCCTCATTTATTAAGCATCCTGCAATTATCACATAACTACCTACTACATATGCAATGAATGCTTTTGACTGCAAGTTTTTCTAGGTGCCAGTTATGTATGTGTTTCCTTTTGTGCATGTGTTCAGCTCAACAGAACTGCACTCAATTGCTTAAAGTTATGCTTGTTCCTAAGTGTCTGTAGAGTCAAGACTGAGGTAAGACTCTGTGTGTGATAAAGGGCCGGTGGGTGTGTACTTTAAACCTTTTACTATTGCAGAATTTTACATCCACAGAAAACTTACTGTATTTGCTTAGTATTTCTTGTTATTTCAATGGGATTTCTCACGTGAGTAGAATATATTTATAACCTAAATTGAGGCATAGAACTTAAAACATGTCTACAAAATGCAATTTATTTTTAAAAACATACAATACTTTTTACATTCTAAGCAAGAAACAAGTCTTTTAGTAGCCTTGTTCTAATTATTTTAAAATACATCCACCAAATAAGAGAATTTTTTCAAATCTTTTTCTTTTCCACTTCTTTAAAATTACAAAATCCTGAAACATCATAAAAGTTATTTCTCAACACGTAATACTGTATGTTACAAAAGGAATTAAATCATAGTAAGTCTGAAAATAATAAGTTCATAACTTTTCCTTTCAGCTTGCTCTTTCAAATTAGTATATTGGTTCTTCCTCCTTATGGTCCATGTCTCTCTGCACCTAATATAAAAGGCCTCTAAAAATGAAAATAAAGAAATCAAGAATCTTCATATCTATTCTCTAGATTCCAAAATACATAATTTATCCAATACTACATCATGACATTCATCAGACCATAGGATGTAAACTGCAAACATAAATACTTGGCACAAGGTGACTAGTAATTTCTACTAAAATTATTTAGAAAAGAAAAACAGGTAAAGCTAAATTGTTGGTAATAATTTTAAAATAAAAAAAAAAGCAGGAGTCACAGTTTTCCTCTTGCAACTTAAGTAGATCTTTCCTTTGTTGCACTGAAAACTTAAACTGAGCAATGCAGAGTTTTCATCTTAAATTGGGTATATGAATAAATGTTGTGTAAAAATGCTACACATATATTCAAATTCTCTCTCAGCAGAGAGCATCTGTTAATACCCTTAAAACTTTGAATTAGTTTTATGACATGCTGTCACTTGAACATCTTCCTAGCTTTTCAATTCAGCTATTGATTTTAGAGGAAATGTGAGGTCTTTGGCTATCTTTGAAAAGTTAATAACTACAAAATTCTACCATTTAACTCTCCAATCTAAGTTGTACTGAAGGTGATGAAAGTCTATTGACTTCCACAGGCCACAGATCAAATTCTAAACACAGTCCCTGGCTACTGTATGAACTCTACAAAGTTAATAAATGTCTAACATGCAGAGAGTTACAATGTGAGGGGCAGTATACGGAAAATGTCTGAGAGGTAAAAAACAAAAATCAGAAATGACTCCGCAAATATAGGTTACTTTAATTAAAGTTCGTAAGTACCTTCATATTTTTAGGAGAATGAAATGAAAATGGTAGAAATTCCACTTTGAAATTACACTAAACAGTTTTCAGGTTTAACTATTTCATCCCAGGTTCTTCTGGGACAATGACACTTTCAACAACTTGACTTTTTGTTATAAGGACCTATGCCTTATGTTATAAACAGGGAAATCATCAAGAATTACAAAACTGCGTAAAGAAAAACATAAGATTGATTTATCATGCAATACCTGTTCACATTACAAAAATATTTCATATTTGCTTACATTTTTTGGAAAAAAAGAAGACTGAAAAAAAAATAAAAGTCACACTTGTAAAATCAGCATAATAGAACTTTGACTCACAATCGAAAAATGATCTGAAGCATATATCAGAATATCTCCACTACATTAATTAATATCTCCACTACATTAAGTCCAGAGGCTTATAGGCACATGACAACCTTACAGAAAATAGTGTCAATAAATCTCTTTATTTTAGTTAAAATTACTCAAAATAATTTTTTCAAGTCATACAATTTTAATGTATAGAAAAGAGCCTAGTTACTTTATGCTTCAATGAGACAGTTTCACAGATCTTACAGTCCAAAGTCTCTACTGAAATCAGTGGGTTTTTTGCGTCAATGAGAACAGGATTGAGGTTATGAATAAAATGTGAAAGTTAAACATATGAATGAAATATCCAGTTTGAAAAGCAGCTCAATTACACAATATATAAGATTGATTAGGATTTGAGGCATGCTTACAGCAATCCCATTTGACGCAAAGGATTTTTTTTTAACTAATTGAATAATTTTACAACATGAACAGAAACAAGTAATTGTTCCAGATTGTGAAATCAGAGATCGGTGCTTTAATAAGAAAATCATATTAATTTAAAATTAGAAAGAAATATTTCACACTACTTTTTTAACTCAATAAGAAGTATATAATCTTCATTAATGTTTACAGAAATTTAGGATGCTGTAACACAATTCATTTTCTCTACAATGCAATTACCACACAACCAAAATAAAACAAAAATAGATGGCAAATAGTTTAACTTTGAACTTACAATGATTTCCAGAAGTGATGGCTGGCAAAACAATTTTAAAATTTCCAGGAACTTTTTCTGTAAGTTTTATCATTTACTTTAAATAAATAAAATCAATTTGAATGTTATTTTAATTACATTACCAGTATTGCTCTTGTGTAGAAGTTATCATTTCATTGAATGAACTAAATGAATGCTTTATCAATGTACACTGAAATATTCAGGGCATGCTGCAGGTAAAGGTGAATGTTTTTACGGCACACACTCTCCTAAAATAGACTATTTATCATTCTTTGAAAAGGGGACATAAAAAAACAATACTATGTGTGTGGCCTACATTACCTTCACTTAATGCACTAAATACAGGTTTTTTAGAAAATTGTGCAGTTTCTGCGCCATTGATAATCTGACAGTAAGTATTTATTGAGGGTAAAACACTCATTGTCTGTTGACACTATTTGTTTTAATATATAATCTTGCTAACCAAATGATCTTTAAGCAATGCAGATAAGCAATGGCATGCAAAGGGTCACTTAAATGCCAATTTGACTGTTTCATAAACTTAAGCATTCTTTTCCCATGACTATTCTCAGCTACTTAATTGAAAGTATTATCCATTTACAAACTTAAGGCCTGCCATAAAAAGGCTCTCTTCTGCATCCAATAGACCTTTCAGAACCCTAAGAACAACAAAATCTAATCAATAAAGCTTCTCTTTTCTTTTCCTCTTTTCTTATAGGGAAGTGAAGAACTAACCTATAGTACATCTAAACAAAGCTATCTGTAAAGATCTTATTAGCAGTGGAGACCATAAAACTGAAGAGTCTGACTTGGTGTGGGATGGACAGGATCAGTTAAGTTAGGACATGGTCTGTACTACTTTTGCAGTCTGCACTCCTACTACAGAATGACAGATACAACCTACGACAAGAGCAAGGTAATAAGCAGTTGTCCTTAAATTATAGCTCTACATGTAAAATCTCCTGAATTTCAGACAAGCACTGACTGTAATACAAATTCAAGTTAATGAATTTTTAATACATCTTCTCTATTTAAAGATGATGACTTACAGCTGGCATTGCTTATATTAAATTTGTGGTATTTTCCATTGTTTGTTTTTAATTATTTTGATTAGATTATGCTTGGAATTGTATAGACAAATTCAACCCCACATAAGCAACTTCAGTTTCTGATGCAGCCAAGTGAAGTTTCATCTACATATAACAGGACTGAATAGGCTCTTTGTATTTTAAAAACCATATCAGAACTATTTCAAGGACTTAAACAGAAAGTTAAAGCTAGAGGTACCAAACTAAACCTGATAATTTAGATTTGGAATTGTAAGTGTTCAGATCCAGATTTGGGGGATGGCATTATTTCTTCTCCAAACTCAGCTATCACGCTATGCACCAATAACTTAATATGTTTTCAGTAATTTTCTCATAATAATGAAATAAGATTCAAAAATTACTTGATATTTGAGGCCTGAGGAGCCAAAGATTGTTGCAAGTGATGTTCTTCTTGTAGCTCTTTCTGAACTTCATCTAGTTTAATTTTTTTATAGCACTTTTCCTTCTACCTGTAGCACATCCCAAGATGGAGCCTAAAATGTTTATGAATAACTGATAAATACAGTATTACAAACTGTTAAGTTACAAAGATATTTTCACACCCTCTCTGGAGAAGTACAAGGAGCAACGTCACATAAGCAGCTCTGACTATCAGAACACAGTTCAATTAAACTACAACAGTTTAGACCTGCTGTCACTACACATATCACAGCGGTGCCTACAGCTAATCAGTATAAGGAATAAGCAGAAAAGTGTGATAAAACAAAATTTCCAGTGTGCCTTACCTAAATTATTTCTCTGAATAGTGTATAAGATGAACGTATTTCAATCTATTACAAAGATATAATCAAACATGCATCAAAATCATATTAGTATGTAAAAATAATAAAGTAAGAAGAGCACGAACACATATGCAATTTTTACTGTATTTTTAAGCAAATTCAAGCAAATGTATAGTTTAAAATATTATATTTTTAGGAAGCTTCCTCAAGGTTATGTTTTTTAAATACAGGAACTTCAGCAGGAGTACAGATGTAAGGAATTCCTACTGTTTCCACCCACAGCTGCTCATTCCTATTTATTAGTTGTGCTTAGTTGCTCCAAAAATTGTTTTTTTCACACTGTGAAATAAATCAAATAACTGATCCATGTTGAAAAAAATCGTAGTAAAAAAAAAAGATGTGGAGGTGTCCTAACTGTAGAGGCTGGGACCAGTTTATCACTATGTGGGTATAATCAAAACTGTATTCTACACTCTCCATGTCATTTCTGAAGTACTGTTAATAATAGATAATTTGCAGCAGCTGCCCAGGGCACACCTGACACCTCAAGCTACAAGGTGGGTGTTAAAGAACTCTGGGAAGAGTGTTTCTTTGTCTTCACACCAATGATTCAGCTGTGATAACTCCCCTCTGGGGAGGAATTAGCACCTTTACACCCAGCCTGAGGGGTCATCTCTGTTAATGGGCCATACTGGACTGGCATAATAGGCAGCTCCAACAACTTAGACCATCAAGGACTCCAAAAATATCCCATGACTCACAGAGTTAAATAACCCTGGGGGAGGTACTGGACATTCCCAGTTGAACCTGAGCACATATAATCTTGGGGTTTTGGGATTTCCAGTACCACTTGTCAGATCCAGAGGATGACCAGAACTTCAACAGGACTGCAACAGTCGCTCTCGACAAGATTACGATCATCACTTCAACAGAACTGCAATCATCATCCAGACCATTTCCTTTTATTTTGCCTCCAAGGGGACCACATGGTGGTCAGCACAGGGGTGGATGAACACCACTGTGTTCTTGTCCCGGGGTGCAGGGCTATACATCTGTCTTTGTGGGTTAAAACCAGTTTTCCCTGTATCATTGCATTTATTGTAATTTTTTTTTTTTAGTAAATTGTAAGTCTGACTTGTAATCTCTTGAGTTGGGTGCATTTTGTCCATCAGTTTACTTTAAAACCAGCACAAGAGGAAAGACAGAAATTAATCTAAGATCTGTGATTCTCTTTGTAGAGTGCCCCCACATAGAATTTTTGTCTGGGACAGCTCACCATAATCCAGTAGCAAGAGCAAGTGGCAAGGAAAAGGAACTACTGAAGCCATCATTGCTGCCAAAATGTCTTCATCTGTTACATGAAACTAAGCTTCAGAATCTATACCCTTGTACTGCTTTTTCCATACTGTGATGACTTGCAGAGGTCCATTCCAACCTTAGCCATTCCACAATTCTGTTTCCTGCAAACTGTTAAACGTCCTTAAAACAGAGTAGCAGTGCCATCAATAGAAAGGATTCTTCTGAATTCCACTTAAAAGCCTGTGCATGTAACACAACAAATCAGGTTCAAGAAAATAAACAAGTATAATCATAGCGTAAGAAAGACAGGCAAAACCAGAACAACACAGTGGGGAAAATTAATTTTAAGGTGTTTGTCTTGAAAAAAATGTCTATCTCAATATGAAAATTAGGTCCACTTTTGGGCCCAAGTCTTCCTGCTACACCAGGGTAATTAATTCTACAAGTCTGGTCAGGCTGGCTACCTTAGTTTATAAAAACCCAAAGAACACAATTATTGTGAGTGAATGCCTTTCTAATTTAGTTTTCAGTCACATATCTTTTTAAATGAATCATAAATATAAAGAATTTTACTCTTCTTTGTCCATTTGCAAGCTTTATTTATCCCAGAACATAACTGGGCACAATGTTTATGTTTATTGATAACTTCAGCAGTATTTAAATTTTTAGAAGAAATCATTTCAGGAAAAAATGAGATAAGTTTTTAGCTCATAAACAAGTGCATAAACCACCAAGTAAAAGATAACTGAGAACTGTCATCATCATCATGGCTAGGCTTCGCGAACGAAGATTTGGGAAGGACTCTACCCACATTTGCTACAAGCGCATTGGTGGCTGAAAAGGCCAATGCAAGATAGACAAGTCTGATTGCAAAAGGCACAGAGGAAAGAGTCCTTAGGTGGTATCGACTAGACATGGTTCCTTCTGCATTGTCTTTTCTCCTTGAGAGTGATCCTACATGTGTTCTCAAAAGAAGCAGCACCATTAGAGAGAGTGTGTCTCCAGGCCTCCCGACTGGAGGACAGACCAATATGATGATCAATATGACCAAGGCTGAGATGTTGTTTCAGGGAGTCCTTGTATCTCTTCTTCGGGGCTCCTCTCTTGCGGCAGCCAGTGGCAAGTTCACCATAGAGCAAGATCTTAGGGAGGTGGAGGTCCTTCATCCTGGAGACATGTCCTGCCCAACACAGCTGTGTTCTCAGCAACATGGCCTCAATACTCATAAATGCTGCCTGTTCTAGAACAGACGTATTAGTCACATCATCTGACCAGTGAATGTTTAGGATTGTATGGAGACAGCGTTGATGGAAGTGTTCTAGGAGACACAGGTGGTGGCAGTAGATGACCCATGATTCAGATCCATATAAGAGAGTAGACAACACTATGGCTCTGTAAACACTGATCTTTGTACTTTTCTTCAGGTGTTTATTACGCCATACTCTTTTATGGAGATTTCCGAAGGCACTATATGTGTCTGTCTATCTCTCCGTCAATCTTACCCTCTGAGGAGATGAGGCTACCTAGGTAATTAAACTGCTGGAATGATTGAGCTCTGACTGGCCAATGGTGATATGGGGATGATGGAAGACTTCCTGAGGTGCAGGTTGATAGAAAACTTCTGTCTTCTTCAGGCTGACTTCCAGCCCAAAAAGTTCAGCAGCCTCAGCAAAGCAGGATGTTAAACACTGCAGAGCTACTTCTGTGTGGGTGACAAGGGCATCGTTGTCAGCGTAAAGCAGCTCCCAGACAAGACGATTTAAGGTCTTAGTGTGGGCCTTCAGTTGCCTTAGGTTGAAAAGGTTTCCATAGGTACAGTATCAAATGTAGATACCATCTTCTTCATCAAGGTCTGCCATGGCCCTTTGGAGCATCCTGCTGAAGAAGATTGTGAATAGGGTTGGTGCAAGAACGCAGCCTTGTTTCACACCATTGGTTATTAGAAAGGGCTCAAAAAGTGCATCACCACATCTGACTTGGCTGTGCTGATCCTCATGAAATAAGATGATTTTTTTAAGGAACTTGGGGGGACATCCTAAACTAAAAGGATATTGAGAATTAAACCATTTTCCAGGAAGATATCCACTTGTTAAATGTAGATTAGGAGTCTATTTATACATTGTTTCATTTATAATCTTCTTTCTGATCTCATAAAGAAAAGCCTAACCCAACAACTGACCGAATGAACCTTAATTTGCTTTTTCCTCTAATGTTAAGCTGCAAGAGCAGTATGAAGACCTGTTTTATAGAAAACCTTATTTTAAAGGACAGGTGGTAAGGAAACAGTTTGCAGACCTCTGCATGTTATAAAGCATCAAAACCTTAACCATGGGAAAACTAATATTATCTCACAATATACTCAACTTGCTTACCTAGTTCACCTGCTTATTATCTTAACAGCTCATCTTTAGGCCCAGATTTGTTTTGTGCTACTTAAGATTCTTTCTGAGTTTCTGAGAGAAAGTGGGAAAAAAATGATGTAAAAGATGAATGCACAAATTTTTTTACAACATTTTTGTCCTCCTTTCAGATAATTCAGCACAATATTTATTATATGCAGTTATTCTTTCAACATCCATGAAACACCTAGAACATTGTATCAATTTTATCTTAAGCCAACTATTTCCTCAATAGCCAATTAGATTTCCAAAAATAAACATAGTAATAGGAAAAAGACCTACAATGATTAACACTAAACAATAACATTTATAGAAATATCTTACCAAAGGTCTGGTCCATTTCTGCTACAAATCGCACTGGTGAGAAAAAACTGCAAAATATGAGAAGAAACATATATGAGAAATTTATATCAACAGATTTATGATCCTTTAAAACAAATAATGCCTCGAAACATTAATCAATTCCCCAAACATACCCAAGTTCGAATATTTGAATTCTGAAAATCATTTAAATGAAAAGTATAGAATGATGGGCACTAGTATTTATGAATATAGGCAGATGTCTTATAATTCCACTTCCCTAATCAGCATGCTACTCAATAAAAGCAAAGTTCTTTATAGACAGCAGCTGGGAAATCAAATCTCATATGAAAAGGAAAGAACAAGTGACACAAATACGAAAGAGAGAAAAATAAAGGTATACTTGTGATTTATAAAGTTTATAAAATGTTTTCAAGGACTGTTTAATTTCCTTTCCCGGTTTATCAGTTTAAAATATGAACTACCTATCTTAACAACTCTGCTAGCAAACAGAAGCACTATTAACTTATTATATTTTAACATTCTCAGGTAATTCAGAATGTTACCAAGCTTGCTTGGCGAAAACTTGGCAAGACTTGAGATTCATTTTTATTTCCTCATGTTCACTTGGTGCTGGTTGTATAAGCAAGAGAAGAAAACTAGTATAGAAAAAGAATGCTAAAAAAAAATTGTAATACTACCCTACAGAACAAAACAACATCAAAAGAACATATATGCATAAATTAAAGTTTGAGTCTTCATTACAGGAATCAGTTTGAAAGAAACAAGTGTATTCAGAGACAAATGATCTTAGGCTCATCTTTTGCAAACATTTACACATGTGCTTAACTCTCTACTATAAATAACTCCTCCACGGAACTGCTCATAGTAGAGCAGTAGTAGAGAAGTTTACAAGCTGAGTGCAATTTTCAGTTAATCATTTTCTACAGAGATGAAAATTATAATTCCTCCACTAGCAGGAAATCAATTACAAAATTTGAAGTTGTTCTCACTTCCCAGATATACTATTATTTCTCATCAAAGGAATGGTTCAACAATTCCCCTTTTGGATACAGGATATCCATAGCAGGAAAAAAAAAAAAGACAAAAACATCAGACTTGAAATGCAGCAACAACTCTCAAAACAGGTGGTAGTTTCAAGGACTATGTGCTTCCTAAGCACCTGGTTAGCATATATGCACGTAACTCAGCACACATGTGCTTTACCATTTGTGCTATACACTGGTTTGAGGAGCCAAGTTTTAAAGATAACAGTAACAAACAAGTATCCCACCTAAACTACATTTCATTTCAGAGTCCTGTTCTTTAAAACTGCTAGAGAAGTGTTAAATATTTCTGGGGAAAGTATTTCAGAGCCACAAGCTGATGCAAGAATGCAGTAAAGCTGTGAGTTGAACAGACTTCACATCGTCCTTTGCTGGCATTACAAATATCCACTTGCTTTTTTCGTGTAAGAATCTTCCGCACAGTAGAATATTTATTCCACTGAGAGTATTGTCCACCTAGCAATCCAAAAATACTAATTTTTTTAAGGCCAGGGGTTTTTTGCATTTGACTTTAGTACCATGCAAGAACTATGTTCTGAACTGTAACATTTTTTTCTTGCATATTAGAAAATGAAAAGAAAAAAAAGGAGTCTGTTGGCCAACACGAAGTGATAGATGCATGTATTACCACAAAATGTAAACTAGAAAGCAATAAAAAGCTATGGCCCTGCATGTACATGTACATGTTGGTGTTTTGCTTTTAACCAAGGCCTTAGTAATTTATCTACCTCTGACAGAAAAGACAGCTTAAGGAAAAAAAAAACAATTCAAAGTACATATTTTTTCATCACCATGAGAGTAAGGAACTAAAACAGAAGAATGGAGTAACAAAGACTAAAAGAAACAGACACAGCATTGTCTTCTCAGGCTATACCATTGCAACACATGCATGTTTTCAAAAATGGTGATTACTATAGACTATTAATTATTACAGTCCATCCAAGCTGTCT